TCATTTCCGGTAGGGGCAAGCCATGTGTGAAATGGCAGCCCTGTACCGGTTCACTTCAAAACGGAAGATTACCGGCTTGAAACCGGGTGAAACTGGGTAATGTGAAATTCCCCTAAGTTAGTCCCTTGTCTATATTGAGTAACTGTACATCGCTTTGAGCCCACTGGGGAAAGCGATTAATAAATGGAAAGCATTATTATTATTATTATTATTTTTCAGTCATCCCTCTGATTAGCTGTTAGCTGCTCTGCACACACCATCCGCTGTTGGTGGCCAGGGGGGTACCTGACAGCCCTAAGGCAATACAGGGGACTGGTAGCTGATAGAATGGGGGAGACCTTTGCCCATCCGTCACCAAAATCCTAGCGTGTTCTGCAGCACTGTGACATCACTTCTGGTTATGTAAACAGAAGTGACATTGTGGGATGAAAGCGGGAGACTGTGGCCTGCTAACACATTGAATTTTTTAACCTACACATAAGATATTCCATTTCAGAGGATACAAGGGGGGACCTGCATCAAAATGTTTCAGTGCAGTGGTCTCACTCCACATCTTGTAGAGAGCTACATTTGTATTTAACATTAACCAAAAGAGTCTGTGCACCATCCCGCTAAACACACACATGAAAAAATATGTAGCTTTTGGAAAATGGTTAAAAACCTGATAAAAGAGTTAACAGACATAGAATTGCAAAACCGTCCCGAAACGTTTCTTTTGAACATGATACCAGATAGATTGAGCAAGGACGATCACTGTGCTATTTTATATATTCTCACAGTAAGCAGAATCCTTGTAGCCAAGAATTGGAAAACTGATACAATACCCAGAAAAGATGAGATAGTCGAGAAAATCCTGGAAATAGCCGAAGCGGACAAATTAAATCAAATATTAGTAGGGAGAGATGACAAAGTTTTTAAGAAAAGATGGAACAAGGTAGATAAATGGATGGGAAAAAATGTATAAAGTACACTCAAAAGATTGTTATGTAAAATTGAACTTCTTTTTTGTTTGTTTTTTGTAACGGAAAATACATAAATAAAACTTTAAAACACACACACACACATATGAAGTCATGTAACCCCTGATGTTAAATATATTACTGCATCCAGAGGCTGCAGAAAATGGTGTGGGTGTGTGCGGAAAGGATTGGCCCTTCCTTCCATCCCTGGCATGAGGCCTACAGCGAAGGGCAGCATAGCAGGTTATCTGTCCTTTAGTTTTCCACCAGAAGCTGCTCCAACGGTGGAACCACCTATCAACCACAAGTCCCACTGGTGAATGGCCCACTTTCCTGGAAGACGGGGCAGGTAGCATAGAATGGTGCTCTGAAGAGCCACCGATAGCTTGTCAAACGGAAAACTGTTGCTCCTAAACCACTGAGTTAGTATCTCTGTTTTAGTGCATTCCCAGTGTGGCACAGGAAGCAAATTCTTCCGTGCTTCTCGTGGGCCTAAAGAAGAGAAAGAAACTGAGGGGGAGAATCACCCATCAGTCTCTTGCAGGCTCAGCTTGAAGTCTGGGTGGTCCTGTGTTTTTCTCCTGGCTTGGAAGAACAGAGGGGAGTTCCTGTTCTCTCCCCACTGCTGGCGAGGGTTGCCAGGTCCTCCCTGGCCACCGGTGGGGGATGGGGGGGTTGGGTTGCCAGATCCAGCTTGGGAAACCTGGAGGGTGGCATCTCTATGTCGGGCTGTAGGCCAACAAACGATTTGCTTCCCTTCAGTTTAACAGTTTCAAACCACAAGACTTGCCTCGGTATTGTTATCCCAGGCTGCAAGTGCTACATGGCAACATGGGGAAATACACATCGTCCTTTTTACTGTTTGAGTTTCCACTGTGAAGGGGCAATGTTTTCCTGCATACATGAGGGGTACTCATAGAATGAAACTTCCTATTTTGTGCATGGCACCGTTTTGTTCCTTGACTGCTACAAGTCTACCCACATAACTGCTAAAGGAACAAGGAGAACCACTGGAAATTTCATCCCCTCCCACATCTCTCCCTCCAGGATCCTATCACTCCTGAGCAGGCCAGTTTCCTCCTCCATTTCCAGTTCTTGTGCTATGCATTCCTGGAACAGTCTTTCAGTTAATTTACAACACTGTCTTATTCTGCATAGGTTGGGGATCTCTAAGACTGTGGCAGACTTGCTTTGCTGATTTTTAAATTGGCATATAAAAAAAGATTAGGCTTAGATTTTAGGCACAGAATGCAGAAAGGGTCCCTGCCAACCAGCCGCAGCCTCAGCAGAAATCCTTCCTTCCAGGAAGTCTAGTGTCTTTTGGATGACATAAGCAGTGTGACACACTTAATTGCTTTTGCCAAAGTGAGATTTGGAATTTCTAGCAATGTGCCTCTCCTTTTACAATGAAGATCCACTAGGATGCTTTGATTCTTTATTAGGGAGTTGGCAAGGTCTCTAAAGTAATGCATTTGCAGATTGGCAACGTTTTGAAATCTTTTTCATGCAAATCTTTTCCATGGTGTACAAAACTCCCCTAACTTGTCTATCGCAATATCATAGCTAGAGTTTTCTTTGGCTAGGTATTAAACAAATAAATTACAGAAATGTTAACATTCCTTTTATCTGTTTCCCCCATACAGTGCCAACAGCTTTCCATCTATAAATCCAGTTGCATTTAGATCAGTTTTTATTGTCTGCAGCAGAGCTGGAACAATTGAACTTGTCTGGGGCTTTACATCTTGCTTATCACTCAGTCCTTCAAGCTTCACCAACTCTCTGGGAGGCTACCCCAAGAGTGCAGAGGACTGCTAGCAAATAACAGCAACACAAGGAAGATATCAGGTATCACTATCCAACTGATACAAAGCACTCCATTTGAAAGACTATTCTAGCCTGTTATCCTGCCAGATTCTTGGCCAGGCCCTTTCCTCTAATCTATTGCTGTCTGTGCCTCTGGCACATCCTAAACTTTGTCACAACACCTAGGTATCCATATTGGCTCTGACAGGCCACTGAGTTTCCGATGTCCAATTGAACTACACTTTTGTGTAGTCTACCAGGCAGATCACAGTTTACCTGCTTTTTTCCTGCTCCTGTACTTCTCAGCATACATTTATAGCCCATCTTTCTTGCCGAGTCTGAAGCCGTCTTTCTTGCTGAGTCTGAAGGTGAACTACAAAACAGAAAAGGCAGAACAGATCACAGTTTACCTGCTTTTTTCCTGCTTCTCTACTTCTCGGCATACATTTTCATTTATAACCTGTCTTTCTTGCAGAGTCTGAAGGCGAATTACAAAACAGAAAAGCCAATTCAATCTGATGTTGATACCCACTATCTTCCCTATGTCACTATCCTTATGCCCCGGTAGCTGCAACAGGCAGTAGTTAGTACTCAACAAACTGGGCTTGTGAATTCAGGTGTCACAAGAAACCATACTGGTGATTAACAAGCAAGCCACACACCCCAGCTTAAAGCCAGTTCTGGCTTTAAACTAAGCGGTGGGTTGATGAAATCCCAGTGTAGCGTGCATGGGTTATTGTGGTGTCCGAAGGCAACTGGAGTGTTAGGGGTTGTTGACCTTGCTCTGTCCTCCTTTTGCAGTGAAGCAACTCCATTGTGTGGAAGAGCTGTGCTGGCAAAGGGACAGCCATGAGTGCAGCAGTGCCATTGGCAGCTGTTGGAGCTGAGAATGGGGTCAAAGTTCTACTGCCACCGCAAGAGGACTGGTATGCTGCTGCACAGAGGCCAGAGTTTTTACGTATCAGTGTATCACTTTGCATTAATGGCTGTATGAATTTCTAAATGAACTTTGTGAAGCTAGAAAATGGGAGAGGTCTTCACTACAACTGATTTTGCTATGTGTCCCCCCCCCCAAGATATTGGTACAGATTAGTTGCTGAAACTGACTTTCATACTAGGAGTCCCTGTTTCAAATGCCACCTCTGATGTGGACTCAAGAGATGGACTTAGGCTCTCCAGTATTCTGTCAGCCATAGTTTGGACTAGTGGTCAGAAGTGGGGGACTTTAATCTGGGAGAACTGGCCTTGATTCCCCACTCCTCCATATGCAGCTGCTGGTGTGACCTTGACCTCAGTCACAAGTTCTCTCAAGAGCAGTCCTTGAAAGAGCTCTCTCAGATCCACCTACCTCATAGGGTGTCTGTTGTGGGGAGGGGAAGGGAAAGGAGATTCTAAACCACTTTGAGACTACAAGTGAAGGGTGGAGTATCAACCCAATCTCTTCTTCTTCTTCGCTAGGGATAGTAAGAACCTGTTGAAAAGTACTGAGTGCGGCTCTCAGAGCTGTTCTCTCAAGAGCAGTCCTTGAAAGAGCTCTCTCAGATCCACCTACCTCATAGGGTGTCTGTTGTGGGGAGGTGAAGGGAAAGGAGATTCTAAACCACTTTGAGACTACAAGTGAAGGGTGGAGTATCAACCCAATCTCTTCTTGTTCGCTAGGGATAGTAAGAGCCTGTTGAAAAGTACTGAGTGCGGAGGCTCAGCATGGTGAAATCAGCTGAAGTTTATTAGGTTCCATCACAACGGAAGATAAACTAGCCAGTCCGAGGCCGGCTTATATGCGTGTCCACACTCACACCCAACACCCCCTCAATTCCCGTGATAGGCTGTATTACATGGCCCAAGTTTCTATAGGTCCCTTTCAGGATCCGGGCGAACCTATTGGTCCGCGCTAGGATCCGAGGTGGCTATTGTTCTCGGACCGAAGGTTTGTAGGTCTGCCAGACCGCATGGCCAGGCTAATGTAGCCGTGGCCATCTTAATACATAACACCTGTCATACAGAACTGTTGTATTATTGAGCTAATGTACATGAAGAGCTTTGAAAATGCATTTGAAATGTATTGTCCAATCTTAAATCTCTTTCTGGTGTAATTGTTTAGCTTTCAGCCTGTTTATTACTTAAACGTTGGTAACGCTGTGGCTGGATTATTAATACTTGTTCTGAATTATTTGTGGTGTATATGTGTGAGGTGTAGCGGTTTTTTCAGTCTTTTCCTTTCCCCTCCCTGTTATAGCTATTGGAAGATAAGGTTATTTTTGAACTCTCATGGAATCTTGGGACAGAAGTGAGCTGAGTTAGATATATCGAGCCCCTGTGATTGGTAAGGAAGTCTTTGAAAGGGGCATAATTCTCTTTATGAGAATGTGAATGAAAAATCTGAAAGTAATCATAGCAGAGTGTTGATTAGTATTTGAATTTGTGTCACATGTACATGCAATGATCATTCCTAGAACAAATACCAGAATAGTTACAAGTAGTGAATGTCCACATGTGCTTGTCCTTCTACTTTCTATGGCATGTGTACAGTTTTCAGAAATGGAGTTTGGAACCTTTCATATAACGTGGCAGAAGCAAATGTACATAGCCCTTAATCTGTAGTATCAAGAAAACATTTCAGTGGTATCTTCATTAGTCAAGCTGTCATTGTGGCATGACTTTCCATGTAGTTTTAGGCACAATTTAATAGATGCTGCTGGGCCTAGTTTTAAACTGTAGTTTCTCACTTGCACTGATCAGTTAATAACAGACTTAAGTAGGAGCCTATACTGAACATTAGGGTAGAACAAATTACTACATACTGGGTATAGGAAGAGAATCACAGGGTCTGAAAAGCTTGCTTCTATAATTCTGTCTTGTGTGTCTAAAGCATAATAGTAATCGGCTGGTGTTGGGCTACATTGTTTATTTATTTATTTATTTAATTAATTAAATCTATTGAATATTGCTAATCTTCCTGCACCTAACATTCAAATGGCATGCATGAAATGTACCGGATTAAGTGCAGGGCTTTTTGGGGGGTGGGGGGGAAGAGGTGCCAGAACTCTCAAAGAGGGGAAATGAAGTTTTCAGTCTGTATACTGAAAACTCCTGAACTTTTAAACATTGTAAAAATAATTTTGTTGAAGAGGTTCTGGAATTCCATTCTGGCGCATTCCCCAGAAAAAAGCCCTGATTAAGTGTAATTGCAGACACAGCATGACAAGTGTTAAGAAGGCTCACTGTAGCTGGAAGTGGGTAAGAAGTTACTTGTGGTTTAAATGGATGAGCCACTTCATTTCCTTCAAGATATATAGTACCTAGGGTTGTAAGCTCTGGGTGGGGAAATACCTGGAGATTTTGGGGGTGGAATCTGGGGAGGGTGGAGTTTAGGGAGGGGAGGAACTTTGGCAGGGTACAGTGCCATAGAGTCCACCTCTAAAGCAGCCCTTTTCTCCAGAACTAATCTCTGCTGCCTGGAGATCAATTGTAATAGCAGATCTCCAGCTGCCACCTGGAGGATGGCAACTGTAACATTGCCCCGTTTTTTGTAGAAAATGCCTACTTTTTTCTTTAAAAACTAGATATATGGGTTTTTTGTTCTACAGACATTTAATTTCAGAATGGCGAATAATTTCAACACTCCATATTTTAGGAAAAGGTATTGGGCCTGGAACATAAGAAATGAGCCAGAATGTTGCCAGTCAGCAGGATAAACTCAGATGTGCTTCATTATTAGGAACAAGCTGGGTATACTCTGAAACAGATACATTTATTGAACTCATAATGTGCCTTTTTTAAAAAAATACACAACTGGATTGCATGCCGGATGTCTGGCTGATCATTGTTTGGAGTCACAGTACTGGATTATATGAAGCTTTGGGGGTCCGACCAGGCAATTTGTCTCTCCAAATGAAGCACTGGGCGTGGGCTGGAAATACTCAAGAGCACAGCATGGGGTGGTGATGTGTTTCTGTGACATAAGGACATGTTTTCATTAGTTTAAGGGCTCGGTGGAATTGCTGGATAAAGCGCCCGCACCCCCCTCCCGCAAAGCAGCCTGTGTAGGCTGCCCTTCAGAAGTTCATAGGCTTGTGGTATTCGGAAATAATTAAAAAAAGAACATCCAGTATGCTCTTTGCAAGGCTTTGAGGACCGCCCCCCTTTTCTTTTTCAAGCGAGCCTCTGGCAACCTCCTTGTCAGGTTAACTAGTACAGAGAAGCAAAGGAAGGTCACTCCACAGCGCGTTTAGCCCAATGGTTCACTTTCCTTTTACTCGAAAGTCAGAGTCTCCCCGTCGCGTCAGCCCGTTAAGCAAGAGTCCAAATGCCGTCTCTCTCCCCCCTCTTAAGCCAGTGTCCAGATGTCGTCGTCCCCTCCCCCCCTTAATACCCACCGCCCGGATCAAACCCGGCCCTTCCCTTCATCCCTCAGGAGCAACAAGCCGGCCGTGGCGAAGAGGGCCGCGAGCGTCGACTGACACTCGCCACAGCAAAAGCGCCACACTAACCGCTGCAGGCCCGGCCCGGCGCCCCGGCAGTGCCTGTCTCCCCGCCGCCCAACAATCGCCACCTTGGGGCGCATGCGCGCGGCTCTCCGGCGGCTCTGGTTTCTCTCGCCTCCGCCTTGCTAGGCCCTTCCGCTCCTTCCCCGCTCTTGGCTGCGGAAGTGAATGGGGCGCTGAGAGAACCACGGAGGAGGGAGAGCGAGCGAGCGCGCCTGGCACGGAACGGGAGAGGGCGAGGATGCGTGTGGGCCGCTCCCGGCTCCGCTGTTGCCGCCGGGGCTAGGAGAAGTCGAACCCCGGGGAGTGCGGGCTGACTGGAGGAAAGGCGCCTTGGAGCCGGAGGGGTGCCTGGCTTGGTAAGAGGGCGGGGGTCGCGTCCGCAAGAGGTGGGTCTGTCTGAGGCTCCGTGGGAACGAGGCGCGTCCGGCCCCCCCAGTGGCGGGGGGCAAGAAGAGGCGTGCCCCCTTGTCGTGAGGGGCTGCCTCCCTCCCCTAGTCTCCTAGGCATGCCCCTCACTTATTTCCCAACAAGGGCTCCCGTAGTGCAGCGTCACCTTGTTACTTCCTCTTCTTCCCTTCCCATTTCCTCACTCGCTCGTCTTTCTCGGATTTATTTCGCCTCCCTTCTTCGTTTCTTCTCCCTCTCCCCCTCCTCCTCCGCCTCCTTGTATGCGAGTGCGTGTCTGGGGTGTACCATAGCAACAGGCGTGGGGATGCTAGGAGGGAGGCAACTGCCCGTGAGGACTGGGAGGAGAGCTGTCGAGACAAGGGGCCGATCAATTTGGGGCATCGCTCTCTGGGAAGAGGATTATGGCGGGTCCCCCTCCCTATAAGTGTTCAGGGGGCTTCCGGTTTCTTCTTGCCTGGTGGGTCCTTGGTCGAGTCTTCCTCCACTCTGTGGTGGTGTTGGAGAGCGGAGAGGTGCAAGGAACTGGTGGCATTTGTTTTGTATTCTGTTTTTCTTTCCCCCCCTTCCTTTTTTTCTTGCTAGTGCTTCCCGGTCTTTCCCCTCGCAGATGTTGCTGTATGTGCGGGCGGTGGGAGCAAAGCAACTGCCTGGACTATAGGGATCCCTCCACACTTTCCTTCTCAGTCCAAGCCCCAGGGCTGCTGTTGCTGTCATTAAAAGTCTTTGTAGCTATCAACCCAAGTGTGGTTTCGATGGAAAATGAAGGTAAATATCTTGCAAGTAGTTGCATTTCAGGTTTAGGCAAGGGGGGGGGGGAGAAAAGCATTTTAAAAGCATCCTGCATTTCTTTGATCAGGCTTTCTTCTCAAGGCATAGACTTGCTTCAGAGGGTCTTTGTATAGGGCTGGATAGCTTTTTTCAAGCTAGTGGGCCTCTGTTGTGCAGTTCCACCTATTCTTATTTACATGTTGCGTTTTCTGTAAATCAGTGTTATGTTTCTGCAGTGGCAGTGTGCAGACCCGCTATATAAATGCTTTAAAAACCAAGAGACTATATGTTCTCAGAGTAGATAATTGGTGCTGATTTATTTATTTGCCTTATTAATGAAGATAATATTTATGTTAAAGTTACAGTACTTTTTTTGTGCAAGCTGGCATTGGAAAAACAGGTGACTCTTACCTGGGTATTGATTAACATTTTCTGGATTAAAATCTAATGTGTAAACAAGGTTCCAGTTCTGAGGAATTTTGTAAATATGTTGGTTTCTCTGAGAGGACTAGATTACTAGTCAATGTAAGACCTCTGCTTAAATCTTTGAATTCTGTTGCTCCTTAACTGAATCTTTCTTTAGCTGAAAATTCTAAAGAGAAGAAAATAGTTTATAGTGTGTCCTGATTTTTGCAGTGTTCTAATTTCTGTGATGAATAAGACACAAATATGTAAGGAATTAGGAGCCCTACAGCACTACTTTGGGGCAGAATCTGTTCCTGTAATAATGTTGGCATGAATCTTGCACAGTTTTCACATAATGAGCCTGTCTCGTAAGTTAGTACTTAACCTCATCATTAAGGCCTGTTTTGGAGAGCTTTGTTTAAATACTGTGGTATGCCACAATGGATATCATAACTCATTAAATGAGTCGCAGAACACACTTTTCACAATCTAAGGCTGTTATTAATCAACACCTCTGTTCGGCATCCTTCCACACTGTTATGCTGAATATCAGTAAAGGGGAGGTAACAAAAGATAAGCTTGGTGCAAAGGGTTTGTGAGGCCAAGGCTACGCTTTTCCTCCGGAAGCTGAACTTTTCCGTGTATTTAAGGCAGTTGCTTAGAGAGTGATTGAAAGGCAGGTAACTGTTCTCCAGGGAGGCATCCCTGGCTTCACTTGGACTCTTATTATTTGTGAACAATATTGAGTAATCATCCTACGTAGAAGCTTACAGTTAAAGCACCAATGTAAAAATGACACCGAGGCTGTAAAATAGCACTTAAATGAAAAGTGTCAATTTACTTTCCACAATTAGAAAAGATGCTTTTTGACATGTTTATTGCTTTGGTGTCCTTTCCCCCCTTAATTAAATCAAAACAACTGTTGACCTCATAACCTTAGCTTGTTTTTGCATAACTCAAAACATCTTCATCATGTTACATGTAAATTTGCTGTTCAGCCTGTCTATAAGTTCCATTCCAGTGTATCTGAAGAAGTGTGCACGCACACGAAAGCTCATACCTTGACTAAACCTTTGTTGGTCTTAAAGGTGCCACTGGACTCTAAATTTGTTCTCCTGCTTCAGACCAACACGGCTGACCATCTGGAACTTAAATGAAAGTTAGTTACCTGTTTCTAATGATAGCTCTTTTCTGTTTATCAAATAGTTGTCTGATGTGTTGGGCTTTGTGTACTAATTTCAGACAGCAACGAGTCAAAATAAACCGAAGTTAACTCATGAAATCTTATGGCTTGTGTCCACTTACGAATTATTTTGCACCAATCAGTGTCCTATAAGTAACAGATCAGCAGTCTCTTTGAAATTAAGGCCATCAAGCCACAAAACAAGGGCAATCTTTTGCTATTTAGATTTGATAGGACTATTGTATAGTTTGACTTCAGGAGATCTCACACCGAAAGCATTGTATATAAGGGGACAAAATTTTAACGAACAGTTCATATAGCATATTCTACAAACAAGCTGGCTTTTTTGGGTCTGTAACAGCTTTGTCAATGCACCTTATGTTTCTAATTTTTTTTTAAACCTTAGCCCTTCACTGTAGAACCGCCAACAAAGTTTTGCTTCCTGCAACCAGCCTATTTTAGGATCAAACTGAACTGGTTGCCATGAACATTTTCTGTATTGACAATGAAGTGGCTGGATAAGAATGCAGATCTGTCACTCGTTTCAGAATACATCTGTCTTGTCTAATTTCCCCACCTCAGCTTGTTAAAGGAAATATTTAACAGTCTGTTTGGTGAATGTAGATCTGCAGATAGCTGGATCTTCATTTTAAGTGGCAGTGTGAAAGTATCCAGACAGTTCTATCACCTAGTCATTTCAGCCTCATATTAGTTTAATTCTTCTGTCTCTATTAAATATACACACTAGCACAAACGTTCAAGGGGATTGTTTTGTTCATTCATTTGCATACTTAGGCTTAAGTGCCCACAGTGTGCATGGGTAGGTACCTGTATTATCAGGCTCATCTGGACTTCACAGAAATAGCTGAATAAGTCTGTTGTTACACAAGCAGCCTTGAATGGAAATCAGAACTGAAGTGGGATGGGGATATTGTATGTAAAGTAACAGTTGGATCTCCTTTACAGATGACACTGAGGTCTGGCAGCTGCACTGCAACATTGTTACAGATTCATTTGAAGTCTAACTTAATTTAGTTGCAGAAATTAGTAACGGCACAAAGACAAAACCAAGCTGTAACTTTTCTGTATTATGAGAACGGTCCCATTATATGACCGATGCAGTTAACAAGACGGCTATTTTTCAGAGTGGTTAACAGGGTATAACTAGTGCCATCCTATGTGCTGGCCATGTGAAACTGTGACAGATTGCCCTGCAGATACAGTTCTGGCACAAATTCTGTTGGTGGATGTTAAGTAGGCAAGCTTATCAAGACAACAAACCAGTATGGTGTAGTAGTGGACTAGGATCAGAGACCCAGGTTTAAATCCATACTCTGCCATGGAAGCTCTTAGGGTAAGCTTGGTCCATCACACTCTTT